TAATCTTTTTTTAATAGAAAGATGTGTGTTATAAATTATAAACACAGAAAAATGTAAATATAAAATGAAAAACTTCTCTTTTAATCATAGAAGGATGTAGTTTTAAAACAGTCTAATTCAAAGAAAAAGAGATTTCATTGTTGTGTGCTTGAAGACAAAACTTTCTAATAACACTAATTATTAAGTATTTGAATATTTAAGCAATTTACCCAGATATTCTTGTAATAGAGAGCACTATTGTTACAACATTTTTCTGTTTCATAATTGTTGAATTTGCATAAGAGTTTTAAAGAGTTTTAGAAAATTTTAAATAATGGTTTGTGATCAAGAAAATTTTGGGGGGTTCAATATTATTGATATTCTTCATGGGCTAGAGCAATAGCACAGCAGGTAGGGAGTTTGCTTTGCACATGGCTGACCCGGGTTCGATTCCTCCATCCCTCTCAGAGAGCACGGCAAGCTACTGAGAGTATCCCACCCGCACGGTAGAGCCTGGCAAGCTCCCCATGGCGTATTCGATATGCCAAAAACAGTAACAAGTCTCACAAGGGAGACGTTACTGGTGCCCGCTCAAGCAAATCGATGAACAACAGGAGGACAGTGCTACAGTGCTAATATTATTCAGAAACTGGACATGAACTAGTGTGTGTACTCCTTATGGCACACATGGTAACCAAATCACCCTTTACATTTTTTGGCATAAAACATTTTTAACACAGACTCTAGGTATCACAAAGAAGTCACCTGATTTCTCAGATTTTCTCTAAAAACTTCTGTTACTTTTCTTTGATCTTGATAGCAATGATCAAGGCAAATGTCCTGGAATTTGCGACCTTAGGTTATAATCTTATCTTGGTTTTGCATATGGTATTAGCCAAACTCATACAAGGGCAGCTTTTGGGTGTTTATGTGGTTTCTTCTTAAAAACACTGAGTGATTGACAGTGGGTATTTAGTAGATGTTTGCTCCTATACCCTACCAGTTCCCAATATGGCCTTTGTGTTAGGGGATTTCCCTAGATCTTATAAATTCATTGTAAATTCAGAGGCATACACTGTCAAAATCTCACCACCCAGACCCAACCCCCAAAAGCAGAGAACCAACTCCTTGAGCAGTCTTTGACTCTTGTTCATCAATACCACTCTCTTCTCATTGCTCACGTGGTTCTAGGAACCATTTACTGGAGTAATTTAGCCCTTGTAACATCTGAGAGGCTGAGCTGCTGAGAGCTAGGGAGACCTTGGAGATCATCTAGTGTAACCCTCTCATTTTTCACAGGATGCCCAGAGAGACCGCACGGATTGCCCAAGGTCGCAGAGTTAATTATGGTGGAGCAGGGGCCTCTTTCCAGGTTTCTGCCTTCCTGGTGCAGTGTGATTCCTCTACACAACGCTCTCGTTTTCTCCTGATTTAGCAGTTTTCCCTCTGGGTAATAGAAGCCTGGAAGCAAATGTCTAAATGTGGCATATTATCTAAAATTAAATTTGCACAATCATAGCCCATTCAATTCCAGAAGCTCTGAACTTTAATTCACTTGAATCATACTTTGCAGACAGAATTTTGGCCAAAATAAACCCTAGAAAAATCTAGACATGTAGAGAAACTTTAGATTCTCTTTTCCTAACAGGACAGCAGTGAGCCAAGGATTGCTGATCATTAGTCAGTCAAATCTGGCTGAGTATATTTCATCCTTCAGTGGAAAGTTGTTTGTTTTTTTTTAAGTGCTATCAATAGCTTAACTTAGATTCACATACCCACTGATGATAGAGCAAGCACATACTGAACAACTAGAACTTGGAAATTTTAATTACTTGAAGATTCAGTATACTAGTAGGATATTTGAGACTTGAAAGTGGGTCTGTGCATTTCAAATCTAAGGCAATTTCCATAATTTTTGTCATTTATTGATGCTAGAGTTTAGAATCTATATTACTCATTAAATTTTTTAATTAAATTTTTTTAATTTAGATACTGTTGTGGCCTGTTCAGAAATGAGAACTCTTAGGTTCCATCACATAAACATATTTGGCATGCAATTTATATGACATTTACAAAGATACAGCACTTATTTTTTTAAATCTTCACACATTTTTCTTATGTACTTTAAGTGATTTTAGTTTTGCAGTATGTGTTTTCATAATTTCATATTAGGAACATTGAGGGCATTCTCAAAAGCACTATAATGTTATACCTCGTGTTTTAATTTGGGATGAATAATTTAAATTATTTTAATAAACCAACAAGTCCCTTGTGATGTTTTTAATCAAAATGAAATAGACAAAAGTATGTATTTCCAGCAATTACCTTAAAAAGTGAATTGAATCTGACAACCCAAATAGCTTAGGAATTATTATTAAAATGGGCAGATTAGATTTTTTTAATACGTGGATTTTCCTTTGGAAAAGAGAATTCAAATAAAAACTTCATATAATATTTTAAGCTAAAAAAGGTAGAAGAAAAAGTAAAGTCAATAAATAAATGCAATTTAAGGATTAGCTTCTACTTGGGGTCGAGAGAGCTCTCTGTATAGTTAGCCTTAAAGGAATGCTCCACTGAGTACAGTTTTTGCACAAATCTGTAAGTATATTCCATTGCACAGAGTACACACTATGAAGGTAGCACAGACCCAATTTGAACTTGAACTTTTTTTTAATTAGGAAAACAGGAATATTGATGACTGCATTAAAATGAGCCCTTATTTATTTATTCCAGTAAATTTCTATAACTGGTATTTTCACATTGGTATAACTGAAAGGTAATTCTATCTTTTTGAAAATAGGAGAATAGCTTTGCTTCCATTCGGATTTTTGAACTTGCTCATCACCCATTTTTGTTGTCCTTAAAAAATGTGTCAATTGGTAGTTCAGAGCAATGTTTCTGAGTGGATAATCCATGGATCATCAGTCTCTGAACCACTAAAAGCAATGATTAAAAACAAAGGGACTATGTCTCTTTCCAGTTCTCTTGAATTAGAATCTCTGGAAATAAGTCATGGTATCTCCATTTTAACCAAATTTCCCAAATGCACACTAAAGGTATGAAAGTCATCAGAGCTATTTATTGGATGTGTCATATGACTTTCACCTTAACACTACTAAGATTTTATAGAGCACTTCTATTTTATAAAGCATATTTACACATATCATCTTATCATCACAATAATCCCAGTTTTGCAAATAGGTAAATTAAGGTTCCAATTTCTAAGTTGGCTTTGCAAGAAGTGCATATCCAAGTAGCATACTTAAGACTTGAAACTGGGTCTGTGCATTTCAAAGTTGAAGAAGTTTTCCTAAGTCTGTGCTGCCTTTATCTACTTAAGATTCAGTTCAGAGTCACCTGGTAAATGTGACTTCTTGGTTCAAGTGTTGGGGTTGGAGTTTGCCATAATTGCAGGAAAAGTATACAAGAGAAAATAAGCAGCCTCTGGGGCACAGGTCTTGAAAGCTCAAACCTATAATCCTTAAAATGATAGTAAGTATTACCCTTACGAGACATATAGTGGTTCTTTGTTCCATCAAAGCAAATTACACAGTAATCACATGAATTGATGCAAATTTAGTTTAGTCATCTGTCAACTTTTTAGGGGCTGCTATACAACAGTACAAACTATTCTCTACTTTATTTATTCCCTTTCTTTTTTGTCTTTCTTGGTTTATTTATACTTTCATTCCTCCAGATGCTGGTAGAGGAGTAAGGAAGGAAATGAAGCTGAATGAATTTCGGTGCCTAGTAGTAGCCTGGTGAAAAAAGCAGTTGCAAATCTCGCTTTATAGCAGGTTTCAGAATTAGTTGTGTGTTTCAATTATCCGTCTTGTCTGCACCCCCTTTTTCTGTACTACATCGTGCAGTATTGACATAGCCTCTTTGAACGCATATTGCTACTTGTTCAGTGCAATTGGCTGGAGCAATTCATGACTTCTTTGGTTTTTTTTTTTTGTTTTTTTTTTAGACAAACACAGCATGAATTATCTGAAACCAACTCTCAGTTATTCAAGGGTTAATGATCCAATGTGTGAGTTTTACAAGCACTTTGCTCCTTCTCTATCTCCCTCCTGTTCTCTAGCTTTAGGTCATTTGGTTGCTTATTAGCATCTACACCAGAGAATATTCAAGTTAAATTAAACTCACACTAATCTTTTTCACTATCATAGCAGCCCTTGATATAAGCTGTAATGAGAGACAAGGGTCACACATGCAGCATATATTTCCCCCCTCTATTTAGATTTTCAATGTTACTGCTTTCCTCCATTAACATAGAAAAATTGGTTAGCTTTTTCTGTCTTATGGAAGTGCCATATTCACATCTAGTCATTTGCAAAAATCTTTCATTGAAAGGCTGGGCAAAGTGGGCAAAAATGTTTCAGTTCTTTGGGAAAGTATACAATACAAATGTCACTCAATGAATGACCGAAAGGTTTAGAAAAACAACTTTAAATTGTCCAATAAATGTACAAGCAATTCAGCCTGGTGTGAAAGTCAGGAATTAGCACCTCAAATGGATGAATTTGAGTTCCATCTTCTCCCCCTTTCTCTGCCCACTGTCTGTCAAAGGTGCTAATGAGCAGTGAAATGGTCAAACGTAGGTAGTGACAGAAGAGAAAGTGGGGTGATCACCCTCCAAGCAAATGAGGCTGTTCCAAATGTGCATTTCCTTTTCTCTTGCTTCAGACTCAGAAACTTTTCTTATTCTCAGGCCAGACAGGTTTGAGAAGTTTCCTGAGATCTCTGCAGGCCTCATCCTTTGTTACCTCAGAGCACTGTAACAGCTCAGAGCAAGGCTGCCTATTGCAGCCTCCCATCTGAATTCATAGGGCAAAGAAACAACCAGTTCCTTCTGAAACCAATGACCCTGGACATCTTTAAGTGTATAAGATTTGATGGAGTCGCTTATTCAGCCAGGCACTGAGATCATGTTTTAGCAACATATTAATGAGTTAACAGATTTTACTATCAAGCGGAAGGAAGTCATTTTTTTTACCCTGGAATTCTGTTTTTTTTTTCTTTTTTATACCTTTATATTGGTATTGCAATACTAGGTGGATACATGAAGTAGATGAAGCAAGCTCCTAGTCTAACTCCCAGCTCCAAAAATCTATTTAATATATTGTCCTCAGATAGAGGACATATCAGATATTAAACTGATAAGAACAGATACTGCACTTGATCTTCACCAAAAGAAGCAATGACCTGGGATTCTTGAGAAGAAATCTTTCCATCTGCTTTTTTTTTTAAATCGTGACACACACCCCACTTTCTGTGAATTATTCTTCTAGAGAGAGAGATATAACAATTGCATTAGTTCTCAAGAATCTAGAACAAAGCAGAGGTCCATGGCCCAGAAAAGGTATTTATAGCTTCTGCCAAAAAAGTGTTGACATAAAGACATAAAGCACTTCTGGATAATTTCCAAAGATGCATATTGTATTAGGCATAGGGTCAGTTAGAATAGAGTTATTACTACATGGGAGAGTTTATTATTCTGGTCTGGAGAGGTCAGAAAATCTTAAGCCAAATAATAATATTTTAGATTTGTTCCAAGTTGATGTTATACCAGTATGAATTTTTTACACATATAAAATTTCTTAGTTTTGTCATATTCTACATTATTTAAAACATTATGCCATGTTTTAGACAAAAGACTCTATCATTAATTTGCAAATGATACAATTAGAAACATATTAGAAAAGAAAGACTCAGTCATGGCATGACTTATAATTAATTTCAGATTAGCTTAATTCATATTTTAGTAGAAAATGAAGTTTTAGAGGATAAACACTTTGTAAAGATTTTTGAATAAAATCTGTGGCATAGATGTGTGTGTGAGAGATGCATGTGTATGTACACGTGTTTGTGTGTAAAAACTCTTCCTCCTTCCACCAATAATGTATTTCTTTTATCTCATTTTATTACTCTATAAAATGGGGTAATAGTTGCTGATATATTTAAGACATACTTGGCCAGTAGTGTAAACATTATAATACTGAAGATTTTATGTCTCAGAGGTAACTGGATAGTGAATAATAATCAAAGCATCAGCCCAGTATAAGAAAAATAATATTGTGTGGACTTCATACTGCATGATTTTATTAAATCTAGACTTCTTGTCTCCATGGCAAGTGGATCCCCAAAGCCCAGAAAGCAGAAATGTTAGTCTTGCTTCTGAAAATAAAGTTAACAATATCTAAAAAACATACCATTTAATCCAGTGCCATAGTTCTGTGGAAGAGTTGAGTTGTGGGGCGTTGGGGGAGAAAAGTCTGTTTACTTTAAAATGTGCTATCCATCTTCCTCAAGTCCAGAAATTATTTCCTACACAATTAAAATAGCAATGCACCTGAACTGATATTCCTACTAAACTGTCCTGAAAGTGGTTTCTAGACAGTGCAATGAAGGGCCCAAGGAGGAGAGTGAATCTCTCTCCTACAAAGAGAGCATGGCTGAGCTTCAACTCATTTTCTTTATGACTTTTCCCAGTGATCTCAGAGAAAAAAAATCCACAACTACCTTGCCCTAAAATATTCACCCCAATACCATAGGAGATAAGATAAGGTGATGATAATGTTTCCTGACCTCTCTGTTAACTCTTAGCAGTTAAAATTCTGTTTCTATAACAGGAATTCTAATTTACTCTTCACATCACAGATGCAAACGCGGTAGATATTAAAAGAGTGAGGATTACCCCAATGCCCTGCATTGCAGGCTTCCTTTGAAGGCTCCAGGGGATAGAAAGGCATTTAGCTGTTTCCTTTTCTTTTCCTCTAGAGGCATCTGGCAAAGTCAGGTGGAGCACATTCCACACACTCCTGTTTATTACGTGCTCTCTTCCTGCACTGCTTTCTTACTCTTCCCATTACTCCAGCTTTCCTGGCCTTCTCAACATCTTTATCCAGAAGGAAACATTATGTTTGTTTCTGGAATTTCCATCAGAATCAAGAAGAGAAGGAACAGACTCATGTTAAAAATATTCCCTGAAAACTAGTGTCTATGATCGCACGCGCGAGCACACACACACACACACACACACACACACACACACACACACGCGCGCGCGTTTAGCAGCCATAGCTGCCTGCCTGTTCCCACATATACACTCTGGCTTAAGACAGCCAATGTCATAAAAACCTTCTTTTGCTCCAGAGTATAATTCATGTCTCTGTCCCCTAGATATAAATCACATTTTCCTCTTTCCAGAAGACAAGTAACTTGTCTTTCAAGAATATCATAACAAGGAAAATAGGAGTTTGGTTTAAATGAGAGAAAAACACTTGCTAATCTTATCTAAGTTTCAATAGTTGTTCTAAGTGAACACATAAAGTGGATCATTAAGACAGTGATTGGAAGTTCTGTTAGAGTTTGCAGATAATTTGTATGGTATCTCAGTCTACCTGTGGGAAGGGAGAAGGGAGCTTCTATTTCCTCGGTGAGCTGTGAGGAAAATTACACTTAGTGGGTCAAGATCCAGGGACAAAAGACCAAGAGCAGTGTAGACCTTTCCTGGTCCTTAAAACTGTGCACTCTTCATTCTCTCCAGCAACCTGTCCTATAATCCTCCCCATCCACTGTCATCCCCTGTTCCCTCCCTGCCTGATCTGAAGCAGGGTATCCCAAGGGTCTAGAGCAAGAGGGGAAAAAGTGGGTGTGCTCCTTCAACAGCACTGTAGAACAGTCCTTCCTATTTTTTTCATCGTTTCTCACAGTTTTATTTCCCTATTAATATTCCTGAGAGCAGGGAGACGTTCTAGATGTTCCAGCCCTCACCATGAAAAAAATTAGATACTTTCTTTTCTCTATTGGAAACATAATTTATTTGGATTATTATGATGATCATTTCAAGTTAAAAATGCATCCCCAAGGTTAATTTATATTATGTGTTATATATTAACCCAAGAACATGTGGTGAAAAGCACTAAAGTCTAGTTCTATTCCTAGAAAAAAAACTATTGCTTTCAATTTTTGTTTACTCTCCTAGAAATAGTCTTCAAGTCTGCACATTTATTATGTCAGAGGTTATGTACATATGGAATTTATGAGGCTTTCCTTTAGAGAACTGTAGTGTTGGGAAGTGGAGATCACCTGGTTGTGACTGTTAAGGAAAGTCCAAAGTAGGATAGTCCAGGGCTGGCTGGACACACTGTCCTGGGTCTATGTCCTCTTAGGAATAAACTATAATACATATAATACACACTCAGCTCCCGGAAGCTGACATCTTATCATCTCATTCCTACTTTTGACAAACTGGCAAGCTACTGAATGTAACCTGCCCACATGGCAGAGTCTGGCAAACTCCCCGTGGCGTACCCAATATGCCAAATACCAGTAACAATGAAGGGTCTCATTCTCCTAACTCTGAAAGAACCTTGAATATGGCACTTTTTTAAAAAAAAAATCTCAGGGCTAGGATGAAGGAGACGTTACTGGGGCCTGCTCGAGGCAATCGACGAATAACAGGATGGTTGTGATTGTGATTGACATATTTGTTTTAGTAGAAAAATTAAAGATTGCATTTATGCTATCCTTCTTGATTTTTTTCACAAAACAACATAACTTTATTTGTTGTCCAATACCAAATTTTATTTGGCATTTTTATACAGAAACACCACATAAAAATGAAACCCTGTAATAATGGGTTTTCAAATAGCAAGAAAAGTAAGAAAAGAAGAATGGAGGGAGGGAAAGAACAAAAAGAAGCACCCCAGCTATTTATGGATGCTCTTTGTCAAAGCATCATTCTTTGTGAAGCTGTATCTAACATTTTCCAAACAACAGGGAAGTGGTTCGTTTTTTGTGGTGACTGTAAAAGTCTAGATTTATGGTTGCCAAATCCAGTCTCTTCTGCTGTTCTCTCTGTCGAGGATGCATGGCATCCAGGAAAATTGCTTGAGTATCCTGTCTATTGCCTTCTCTCCAACCCCACTCTTCAGAGGATCAAGCCAGCTGACTGGCAGGTAGCTGGTATGGAGGCTAAATATAGGAGTTGGGGGTTAGACTATGGAATGGGACCAGATTTAAGATACCTCTAGTCTAGACTGGCAATCTCAGTGCCTCAGAAGCCTCATCTATAAAATTCAGGAGAGTCTCATAGGATTTAAATAAGGATTAAATGAGGATTATATGGGGCTGTCTAGTGCTTACTACAAATAATTTGCAATCTCAGCCTCTCCGAGGCATGGAACTAAGTTGTTATAATTTTTTCCTGAAATAAATATTTCCTAAAAATATTTGCAACACTTGAATATTTCTTAGAAGAACCTTCCCCTGTACCCAGAACATTCTTGAACACTCCAGACACAATTTATGAGGCTAGAGTCTGACTCAGAAAATGCTAGTGATGATCTCATTTATCTGTGGAATATAGATTACTGGATGAGGAAGTGTATGGTGTAAAAGGGGAATGCCTAGATCATCCTCCACCCCAGTGTTTAAAGAGGAGACAGACAGAGAAGCAAAGAAATCAGGGGAGGAAGAAGAGAACTAGAGAAATGGGTTTACAGACATCACAGCTTCAGTTATACTAGTGATGTGAATGAGAGGTATAGCTATGTACCAAAACATAGATTCTACAGAACTGAAAGCATGAGATCTAAGTGACAATGACTGAAACTTTGTAATGTGCCTGTCAAGTTGACAGGCGGGGGGTGGAGTGGAGGTTGGGATGAGGAGGGAATCTGAGAACACCGGTGGAGGGAAGTTGCCACTGGTAGAGAGATTGGTGTTGAATTATTGTACGCCTAACATGCAACTGCCAGTAAATCATGGCTATTCAATAAAAGCTTTTTAAAAGAAGCAAAAAATTAAAAGTTTATTTCTTCTTTAAAAAAAAGAAAGAAAAGAAAATGCTGGTGTGGAATATGCTAATACAGTAAGCCAGCACACTAGCTTTAATTGCAGACAGGATGGTATGACCTTTGTACCTCCTATTTGGCACCTTGAGTAGGTCACTGCCCTTTTACTGTCTCACTCCAATGCTCCTCTATGGACTAGGAATAGCAAAAAAATTGCAGTGAGGGGTTTGAATGAATATTGAAAGAACATGAAAAATCAGCATAGTCATTTGTTACTAATATGGATGTGTCCTAAGAGGTATTCATTAGGTATTTCATGGTTATGTGACTATCATGGAGTATAATCATACAGGCCAAGAGGGCATAACCTAACACACACCTGGGCAATAAGGTATAACCTAT